GTGTGTGTGTGTGTGTGTGTGTGTGTAATTTGTTTTAGCCTTCTGGTAAATGATTTGCCTGATATCTGTCCATCTATGTCCCAGTAATGAATTTGAATTTGCCACATCTGATAGCCAATAACAGCCAATTTGGTGCACATGATGGTAATAGCGATCAAAGTATGAAAAAGCATGATTCCAGTTTTTTAAACTTCTGATGCACCAATCTAAAAAACAAACATTCTAAACATGTTTGTAGTGAACAGTAGTGAATAAACATGCCTTTATGTGCAGGCCTGATGGTGAGAAGAAGGCGTACGTCCGTCTCGCACCTGATTACGATGCGTTGGATGTTGCAAACAAGGTGAGCCTTTATTCCGCTGTTGACTCTCTGAAGCCAAATCAGTCATGTGCATGTGATGTAAACTTTATATTTGCTCTGAATGTCTGTGATGCATTCAAAGGAACCACTGATGCAAAACAGTGCAGATACAGATGTGACGACTCTGTTGATGAACATTGTGTAATTAATATCCTTTTTTATTTTATTTGCAGATTGGCATCATCTAAACAGCAGTCGAAGAGACTTGTGGAATAAAAATAAATATTTGTATAAACAAGCTCTTCAGTCATCTTGTGTGTTTTTTGGAGTGTAATTTACACCTTTGACAAACACTTGAGTTATTGTAATTATGATTCAGTTAAGCTGTGGAAATACTGCTCCATCCTGAAAGTGAAATGCGTGCACTTTTCTCCAGCATAGGAAATAATCAGTGCTTATCTAAGCACTTACATTTAATTATCAACCTGTGAGCGATTGGCTGTGATCCCTTTTTTATACAAACACTTACATTTGATAGCAGTTTCTAATTTTAGTTTTTTAGTACAAATCTGCTTTGATGACGATGAGAACCTGCTAAATTTATTAGTTTATTAAGCTCTCCTGATAGCGAGTTTGAGATTACTGACTGTATTTACGCATTTTATAAAAGTTTATACATGTTAATGATATTTTTGGAGCACAAAAGAACACAGTAAGAAGAGGGGAAATTTGTGATTTAAACATCTGCTTGCTCTATTTTCAGTTTAAATATTTGTCAGTTATACATAATATTAGCAGTGCTCACCCATTCCTGGTTCACTCCACAGCAAAAGAGTGTGACAAGGCATTGTTGCACATTATGGCGGTACACACAGAAGTATCACAATCAGTCAACCACCCTTTCACTCAGCAATGGCTCACCACAGGGATGTGTGCCGAGTCCTCTCCTATACACCATCTGCACCAGCGACTGCATCCCAAAAGCCGATCTCCCTCCCCTATCCATAAAGGGTGACTGCATGGAGAGGGTACCCACATATTCGAGGACCACAAACACATCAGCCCTGGTGAAGAAAGCCCAACAGCGCTTCCCATTTCCTGAGGGTTCTGAGATTTGAAAGGCTGCAGACTGACCTAATACGGTATTTCTATTGAGCCACAATCGAAAGTGTGCTGGTGCACACTATCCCCGTGTGGTACACTGCTTGTACAACAGCTGATAAAAAGAGAATAAAGAGGGTCATCAGAACTGCAGAGAAGATGATCGGCTGTCCACTCTCCACCCTGGACTCCATTGTTGGCTCTAGATGTCTCTCCAGAGCCTGGGCAATTATAAAAGACCACCTCCATCCTAACCACCACCTCTTCAACATCCTGCCCTCTGGAAAAAGGTTCCGATTCATTAGGTGCAAAACCAACAGACTCAAGTACAACTTTTACCCATGGGCTCTTAGAACCATAAATGCAAATTAAGAGGTTTTTTTTTTTTTTTACAATCATTCTGTTGCTGCTACTTGCTATTTATTATGTTGTTTTGTGTGTGTTTCTTTTTGTTTCCGTGCAATATTTTGGCAGATGTGCAATTTCCATCATTCAACGACCACAGCCCTTCCATCTTTATTTATTATTATATTTTATTACGATGCCTTTGTACACACCCACACAATGCTTCCTGTAACCCAAACATCGCATATATAGTGTACATAGTGTTATGTACACTATGTAGAAAATCTTTAAGTGTAGCTAGCTGAATGGTTCATTATTTATACTTTGCTGTCACAGCTGTGCTTGTTTTTATAATAAATTTGACTCCAGATGACAGGATTCTTGGGAGTGTGAACTTCACCATGAGCAGCACGCTCAGTGAACGCCATGAATCCCAGAAGCATGTGTGCAGAGCCAAAGTGCTGCAGACTCACTCTGGGAATCAGTCTGTGTCTGGTCTATACAGAAATGTTACACTTGAAAAAACACATCATGGTGACAATTTCTTTGGACAATATGCTATTTGAACAATTACACTTTCTTTAGCCATGAATTTGACAGTATTTCATTTTTAATCAATTATTTGATTTGTTGCATTATTTGTTATTGTTTTGTCATGCTGCTGAAGAGACTGAGGACATTTTGATCTATGCCCTCTGTAATTGTTCCTGTCACCAGACAATCACAGTACTTTCTTTACTTCTGTATTGAAAGCATCAACCTACTGTACATGACTCCCCTGTAATCATCTGATGCAGTTTCTCTTTGTGGCTTAATTTAAAGAGTGAACATATGGCACTCAGCTTGCACTGACACTTTCTTTGGCACATGCAGGTTAATGTTTGACAAACTAGGACAATTAATATATCAACAGCAGTGAAAGCAATGCCACTACAGTCATGATCGTTGTTTAACAGCTATCATCATCGGGCTTGATAGAATCCATGATTTAAAAGAAAGGTGCCTTTTTATCTCAGTAGCAAACACATCTACTGCATGAATGAAAAGACCACAATAACAGATGTAACTCTGAAAGTGATTGTTTTATTAAAATTCAAGCATGTCATTTGTAGACAAGATTGCACTGAACATTGTGTTTTCATCTATTTTCTGACTTGTTAAGTTTAGGGTAAAGTATAAGTAAAAGCATGAGCATTACAACTCTACATCACTTTCAGATACGGTTAGTCTGTGAGCTTCATCTCGTTATGTAGATAAATCTACAAACTTGTGAGTCATACAAGTTGAAAAAAAAAAAAAAAAAAAAAAAAAAAGGTGTGCAATTACCCTGCCACCCTTTCCAATAAATATAAACTGTAGCCTATTAATTAGATTTACATGATAAAACTGTGACAGCAGATCTCCTGCTTATGAGAGAAAGGTTCGAACTGTGCCTTTAACAAGGCCTCTGCAGATCGGGCACTTTCGCAGTGATGGCGCACACTCTTTACACACCACCAGGTGTCCACAGGGGATGAAGACTATGTTGACCTCTTTATCCATACACACCTTGCATGTACGCTCCTCCTGTAGGCGCCGCAGCTGCTCCTCCATTGGGAGGTCTGTAATACAAAGGAGATTTTTAAAAAAAAGAAAAAAAAATTAGGTAAATGAAGAGATGGTAATTAAACATTAAAGTGAGTTGAACACAAAACAATTTAACAGGACAGTGAGCTCTGCTTCAGGCTACATACCTGAAAGATCCTGGCTTGGCGATGCAGCTTCGTTCGACTGAGCTACAAGCAGAAAAGACATCACGCACTTAACCACTGAGCTACAGTTTGATCCCCGTCATGGTTTCCAGTGCAAACCCGTCTGTATTTGAACTGCTTACACACATACCCATGAGATCTCTGAGCAGGTGGACGTCATTTTTCTGAATCCAGTTGCGGAAGACCTCAGCTGCCGCATTTCCCTTTGTGAGGATGAGCTCTATCAACCTGGCAGTCTGCTGCTGGGCAGATGTCTGAGCCAGAAGACCGCTATACTCCTCAGCACCTGCAGGTAAAGAAGGGCACACGTGAAACACTTTAAACAGCTGAAATAAAAGATGCAACAAAATATTACACTGTTGCACCTCGAGTTATGTTGTACCTTTATTTAAAACTGAGAACAGAGGCTACCCAGAAATCCACCATCTGATTTAACAGTATTTGCCCCTGACACCAAACACTCTAGGTTTGTGCATCGGCACCAGGTGCAGGTCTTTCGTCTCCATGTTTTTAAAATCACAAAAATGTAACTCTGGCTCTATGATTCGGGTTTTGCTGACAAAATTATGTTTCCGATTTTCATTTGTTATTTAACCAAGAACGGATGCGAATTCAGACAAAAATTGTGTTTGTTGAGATATGAGGGCTGAAAAATGTACATACTCAACACATTCTGATCTCTTAAATGCTCAAACAGTGGCTCAACACTCTTTAGTCGTTGGATCAAAGCTGCCTGGTGTCTCTTCACAAAGGTGAAGCCATCTGAAAGGAAAGGAAAGATTATCATTTCACTGCAACAGAACACCTAAACAGATTTGATTTTACATTTCCATAAATTAAGGGAGTGAGAACAGCATCAATGTCAACTCCACCTGATGCCATCGCCTCTGCCAGCATCTCTCGCTCCTCTTCTCTTTTCTGATCTTCTGCACTCAGCAGGTCTGAGACCAGCTCCTGGACTGTCCTGTAGTTCTCTCCACTGGTCAGGATTTTGCTCTGGACCGTTTGCTTGACTAGACTTCGCTCAAAGCCCATCTCTAAAGCAGACTTTATCACGGGGGTGTTCATCATGACGGCATCCTCAGACCGCTCCTCTCCAGGACCGAGGTGAACCACTGAGTGAAGAGAAAGCAGACATTTATGGATTTCAGTTTTAACAGAAAACAAAGAGCACCAGTCTCTCCGATCAGAATATGAGAACATTTTTATTCATCAGACTCATAAAATTGTTAACAATCCTATATCGTTTCTCTGGAGCATGAGTTATCACCCTCAACTGCTCTCAGTCCTCCCAACATCTATTTCACTTTTAAATAAGGACTCTGCTCAGTTTAAAAGGTCCGGAATCACATTGTTGTGCACTCGAATGTTTGCTGCAAGTATATTATGGTAGAATTCATTTTTATCTTGTCTTATTTTGCTGGTTAAAGATCCTATGTGGGACAATAAAGTTTATTCTTTTCTTAAATATTCTTTTTGGGGAGATTTTAAACAAACCTTTCAAAAATGTAAAGAATTTCATTTTCCAAACTCACCTGGTGGATCCACAAACTCTCTGGAGTTATTGTCTCCATTTGTTAAAAGCTATTGTGGAAAAAAGGGAGAAAACAGCATTTTTTGACTCATTCCAAACCACATGTTTGAACTAAATCTCAGATGTGTTTGTCTTTACTAACTTGCTCAAAAAGCCGAGGAAATCGAGCTTGGATCTGGTGAACAAAGTCTTGTCCTTTCTCCTGGAGCAAATATTCACACCTGCAGTTAAAAGAGAGGTACAAGAATACAAACATTCATAAACCACCGCAGGTACGCACACCATTTGCCTAAGCAGCGCTTTTCTACAGCACACTGTGTTCTGGATAAAACTGACGACAAATCGACTTTACAACAGCAGTATTTACCGAGGAAACCACTTAGCATGTTCCACCCATGGATCATCTCCAGACTCCCAGCATCGCAG